AGCAAACAGGAAATATATATATATATATATATATATATATTAAAAGTTACTACATTATATTATAAAGACAGATTTCCGAAATAAGTAAATCAAATGGAATGTCGTAAAATTTTAACTTGAATCCATAAAGTTCTAGTACGTGCTCCAAGGGGCATCATATGCTTACAATGTTTGCTTTTAATTAGCTCATATATATGTTCAAGGAACTATCCATTTTTTTAGCAATAGTAAACTTAGCTAACCTAGTTACGGGCAAATCTTGAAATTGTGTTTTCGAATTAAATATGATTGGAAAAATAACACTGTATATTCTTTCTCAAAATAATAATCACGCGATAAAAGGTATGCTTTTGTATATATACATATTTATGTATGTTATATATATAAAAAATATATAAATTTTATATATTTTTGCGGCTAATTTTATACCGATGTAAATAGTTTGGACACGGACTAAAAGTAATCTTTGTTCGATTCAACTTTAAGCTTACGTATGCGAGAAAAATGCAAAACCCAAACTTGGCAATTGGCATGCTCAAGGATAGTTGGGGATAGCGATCAATTGATAAAAAACAAGAGAGACTGAAATATACGGGCCTGGCCACGATTAGTACAAATTCTATAAAAAGACAGTTCGATGCACTAAACTCCCGCTATGCACGGGGTCCGGGGAAGGATCGGACCACAAGCGTCAAGCAAAAATGTACACTCTTAGCACGGAAAAATAATTTTATTGAGTTTAGGTTATATACATTAATAGTACTGTAATACACTATCAGTGCAATTTAACGAGGAATTACATGTTATCGTAGGTCAATTTAGACAATGTAAAATAGAGAGGGCTTTCTTTATGAGAAAAAGACTAGTCTTAGTGATAGATGTACTGACTGCTGGAAGAAACTTAGCCAGCTAAAACTGAAATGGATCTTTGCTAAATCATGCAGAAGAAAGTGAGGAAAGTACAGGCATTATCACGTTTATGATTTTCCCCAACAAAGAAAAACAACCAACAGGGAAAAAGTTGCTTTTGGATTGCCATGCACAACTTGATTTCACTCTCATGCATTATTCACTCTTAATAAAAAAAAATCATAAGCCAAAAAACATGAAAAACGAAAACTGGGGCCACATTGTCCCCGTGAATGCAAAAAATCTTTTTCACTTTTAGCCACTTGAAATTGATTTCACATTCCTCTTTTGGACGCATTAGATTAATGGAGGTATTCTACGTTACAACTAAGAAAATACTCAGAAATTTGAAAGCAAAATATTAAAGTTACACCAAGAAGGTGCAGATAGGGAACAACTTTTCTTGGAATAATTTCCCCTATTCATTTTGTGTCTTGACGTTGAATTAAATCAAGCACAGGCCATTGAAACATTACATAACATTATTTGGCTTAATATTCAGGTGGGAGATCAATATAGTTAAGTACTTACCTAATAACAACATTAAAAGTCACTAAAAGAGATGTTAATTTCTAACATATTTCTCCGATCTGGACTACTAATTTTGTATCTTAAACATATGTCTCTAAAAGAGATATTTAACAAATTTTCCGATCTGGACTACTAATTTTGTATATTTAAACTAAGATTTCTTACGTGTGATAAATCTATATCTCTGAAAGAAACATTAATTTCTAACAAATTTTCCGATCTGGACTACTAATTTTGTGTATTAAACTTAAATTTCTTATCCACAAAAATTCCATGCTTAGTTGTAATTATGATTTGGAAGAAAAAAAAACATGTTGCTTTCACATATTTTCCCTGGTTTTAGCAGCAGAAAAAAAGAAGAAAAAGAATCCTCACAGGCCCATCATACTTTTGTCTATTTGTGTCTCTCCATTGCTATATATATAGAGTATCCATGTTAACCTTTTTTGTATCAAAACATCATCTACTCTCCTTTATCGTTCTTGAGTGGCCTTTAATCCTTTTATTTTCTTGTTGCAAAAATGGCCTCAAATTCAACTTGGACTCCTCAGCAAAACAAGAAGTTTGAGAATGCATTGGCCATTTATGACAAAGACACACCAGATCGGTGGCGTAATTTGGCTAAGGCAGTTGGTGGTGGTAAGACAGAGGAAGACGTGAAAATTCACTATGAAAAACTTGTGGAAGATATCAAACGCATTGAGTCTGGTCAAGTTCCTTTGCCTAAATACAATAAGGCAAATGGTGGCCATAACAACAAAGGCTACACGTTCAACGATGAAGAACAAAGGTAAAATTATACTCCATTCCGTTTCAAATATTAGTCGTTTGGATAATCAAACTTTAATATGTTTCAAAATATTTGATGTTTTAGAAAAACAAGAAGTTATTTATTACTTTTTTTTTCCTAATCTATTCTTGTTACTAGCTCCAATTAATTAATATGGAGTGTTCACTCAGTGAAATGTTTAAGAAGAGACAAAGGATAGATTATACATATACTCTTTAGACTAGTGCTATTAAACGTCTTTTTTATAAAGGAATGTCAAAAACTTTAAAAGATTGGGAAGTAAAAATTCCATTGATTTTAATTTGACTATTAATCATCTTGTTCTAGATATATACTGCTAGCTGTATTTGCACTAACCTTCCACATTTTACTGATTCTTCAGTATCCAGAGAATCAAATACTTTTTAAACTATTTCGATAAGCTAAGCACGTGAAAGGATTTTGACAATATCCATTTGCCTAGTGTAATGAATAGACATTGAATTTTTGCAATAACGGTATAAAAATATTTACGGAATCAAGATATTAATAAGAAATTATAAGTAAATCTTGATAAAGTATTAACTGATAACCTGATAAAAATAATAACTAATTTACTATTATATGCTAAATTATACTGATAGTAAATTCTTTCACACTTTGAGTAGATATAACTTAAATCCAATTAAATATCTCATTATCTTTTATCTCATTTGTTTGGATTGGACTTGTTTTTATTGACAGGCTGAGGTATCTCAAGCTCCAATAGAAGCAAGAAATGGCAAAGTAAAAAAGCAGATGGAGCCTATTATTTATGTTGAAGTATGAAACTCAAATGCAGCAAACAAATAACAAAAGAAGGATATTAGCTGAATATGACTTTCTTTTCTACACCATTTTACATTTTAGTTTTTCAATGGATATTTCCTATAAGCAATACCTCTGGTCTTTCATGTTCAAATCAATCATATCTTAATGAATTATCGTACAATGTCTTCTGTATTAATTATTATCTTACTTAGCTTAAGCAGATAACATATTCATTCGAAAGTACAGAACGAAATCAACGTCAAACTAGAGAAGACGAACGAGCTAAGAGCAACACAAAAACAAAGACCATTTATTTATTTACTTATTGTTTTTAAGCAAAGACCATTCAAAATTATGAATACGATTAACGATCGACTAATTTCGGTTTGCGCCTGAATGTGTAAATTCGCTTGTTGAAAGTAGTAAGTATATCCTTTTTTATAATTTCGTATCTTACTTTGAGAAAAAGTTTGCTAGGAGAGTTGAAAACTATGACTTTATCTCTTACATTTGTTGTTAATATAAATTTCACGTCTTCATGGCAAACTGTTTAACACTTTTATTTATCAAGATTCGAGCTAAGCGAACATTCACTACATTTTAAAATTGTTCTTTCGTCACTTTGATCATATGATAACAATTGTAACTTATAGCATCTTTTTTGTAACTTTTGAATATCTGAATTATTAGTTTTGAAAAAAATATGAATTGATCTAGTGTGATTAGTCTGAGAATTTGTGAAACTGATCATAAAGAAACAAAATGTGCCAAATAAAATGGAACGGGAAATGCAAAGGCTTGTAGGCAGCTTTGAATATGACAACACAAATTGATATTCTTCTTTTGGCATGCGATTTATTCTTTTTTTTTTTTTTAAATATACTACATGACGATATGAAGAAGCCCTAATTACTTGATATTGTCACTTTCAAATTATTATGCTGAATGAGAAGCTACTTCTCGCAAACAATATGACTGTTCGACCAAGCTCCAAAAGTTTTTAGGAAATAAAGAAATTAAAAGAATATATATATATATATATATATATATAGAGAGAGAGAGAGAGAGAGAGAGAGAGAGAGAGAGATAGACTCCTTTGAATTGGGGAATAGGATGAAATAATTAATCATGGTATTTAGAATTTGGTATTACTATTTTCAATATTTAGTTTGTGTTTTGAATCATATACAATTAATCCCGATATAATTTAATACACCAGTTGATATATTATTTGTCCAATTGGCCGAATGGAAGATCGTGCTATCCAATTGGCTGAATGAAATTAATGTCTTATTTAAGCAGATTTTTAACTGTTCTGTGAAACGCATTGATAGAAGACTCTGGGGCACTTTCTTATATTCTTCCTAAATGACATCAAAATCCTTTTTCACTCGATTAGAAAGTAGCAAAGTTGAAATTGAATCAGACCAAAGGTTAATCCATTTTTGAGGTACGTATGAGTGGGAATTAGTTTATTAGCAAGGTACAAGATACATATTTCAAAATTCTAATACATTTCCACAAGATCTCGTTAATTTTAAGTAACAGATTCTACACAACGGAAAATATTTCCTGATCTGTCACAAGAAAAAAAGCTGACTAGGGAAAATTAGTGAAGGGGGATTTTAGAAAACTTTGAAATGTGGCAAGCTGGAAAATTCAGAGACAATCCAAGTTTTAGAAGACTATTATATCTAAGTTTCAATGATGACAATTGTGCAAAACTAAATTCTATCTACTTTGATTGCAGGAATCAAGGAACCAATAAAGGAAATGAGATTGAAGAGAAGTTGGTGATGCTAAATCAAAGGAGACGATGCTAGATCAAAGGACAAGAAGCCATCAAAAAGGAAACCAAATCAGTCTCGCCATCTCATTCTCAATCAAAGGATATTGAGACTGTCTTATTCTAGTGAGCAATAACATTGCTAAAAGGAATGAAGATCTACTCGACAACTATGTATCTTGAACCATTGCCTTACATGAGCAAATCACGGAAGATTCAGCAGAAGCTCAAGCCTAGAAAACCAAGAAGGAATGATGAAAGCAATGAGAGACAATTTGAGTCGAAAACACAACATAATGGGAGACAATTTGAAGTGTTGCTCCTTTCTTCAATAAAGCATGAAGCACTCCTTGGATTAATTAATCCACCCCATCAAATGGAGACAATTTGAAGTGCTGCTCATTTCCTCAATAAAGCATGGAGCATTTCAGCATGGAACAGAGCACTCCTTGGATTAATTAATCTAGTCCATCTCTCTTAAAGGAATCATACACACCTTTCTTGAATCAAATATCAGTAAAATATTGTGGGCATCAATCAAAGACCAATCCACAACAACTCTCAAAACTCGCCTATAAGAACACTAGAAAACTCAAGGATTGAATACGCAACTACAAACATTGTCTTCTAAGTCTCTCTAGTTCTTAATACAAACACTGTATTCTTGAGTCTACAAGTGTCATAAAACATAGGAAGAGTTAGAACACATAAATTATTGTTGCTAAACATCGTTGGTGGTGAACAAGCTAAAACCATTGTTGTTGTAATTCTTTATCAAGATCTAAGAGAACCCTTGTGGCCTAAGGAAAACTAGACGTAAGTACCACACCGGTACCGAATCAGTATAAAAATTATTGTGCCTTGTTTTGCTTTTAATTCATTTGGTTCATCTCTATCTTATCTGTGTGTTGTAAGAAAACTAGTCAACTAAACTCAAACTTAGTCAACCAAGTTTTAATAGATCACAATTCACTCCCTCCCCTCCCCTCCCCCCGTACTTTCAATTGGTATCAGAGCAACGCCCACAAATCTTGCTTTCTGGTTCAGCCACAGTTGCTTTAAAGGCTACTATTTTCTTCTTTTCTTGTTGAATTTTCCTGTCCAAGTGAGTTTCCTCAAAGACAATTAGATCACCTCTAAGTTCATCATAAGATATTTTGTCAAGGTTCTGACATTCTAGAGCAATAACCTTGGGCTGCCAAATTGTGGTAGAATTCTAAGCATTTTTCTGACCTGTTCTCCGCTCTTTATTGGTCTACCAAAAGATTTTAGATGTCCAAGGATTTTGCTGAACCTGAAAAATATTTCCTCCACAGATTCTCCATTCTTCATTTGAAATAGCTCATAGTCACGAACTAGAAGATTGATCCTTGTTTCTTTCACCTTGTTGGTTCCTTCATATGTGATCTCTAATTTATCCCATATTTCCTTGGCAGTGTCACTTGAAATCTTTTCATACTATTCTCCACTGATAGCATTATACAGTAGATTTTTTTCTTTGGCATTCATAGTTATAATAGCATACTCTTATTATGGTAAAAATGGTCACAATACTAACCAATGCAGGAACATAATTAGAGCAGAAAAAGGCTCTGAAAATCCTAATAATCTGTCGTGTTTTTATTGTGGAAAACGTGGTCACACTTCTAACCATTTCAAGGATACCAGGAGATGGGTTTGGCGACCTAAATCCTCTAGTCAAGCTAACACTCAGAAATCTAACCATTCAGGACCCAAGCAGGCTTGGGTACCTAAAAACAAGTAATTTTGTTTTTGCAGAAAAACCGCAAGAAGAATTGAAAGGAAAATGGTATCTTGACAGCACGTGTTCCAAATATATGACTGGTGACAAATAATTATTCAAAACAGTCGCCAAACTAGATGGAGGAACAGTTACCTTTGGAGGTAAATCAAAAGGAAACGTAATTGGAGTTGGAAAAGTTCCTCTAAGCTCAACATGTGATATGGACGAAGTATACCTGGTTGATGAACTCGGTTATAATCTTCTCAGTATCAGTCAACTATGTGACAATGACTATGAGGTTCGTTTTAAGAAACATGGCTGGTTTATAGAAGACAAATCAGGTAAAGTTATTCTTTCAGGTAATAGAGACAGGAATGTCTATACTATGAGTAATGTAGATAGTCTTGCTGATCAAATTTGTCTTGCTTTTATGATTGATGACCCTTGGGTTTAGCATAAAAAGCTTACATGCTAGCATGTATAATATTCAAAAAGTTTCTAAATATGATCTTGTCATTGGTCTTCCAAAACTAGATTTTTCAAAAGATCATATTTGCGATGCATGTCAACTAGAAAAACAAACTTGCTCATCTTTCAAAATTAAAAACATTATTTCTTCTACTAAACCACTTCAACTATTGCATATGAATTTGTTTGGTCCACTAGAACTACTAGTATATGTGGTAGAAAATATGCTTTTGTAATTGTGGATGATTTTTATCGATTTACGTGGGTTATTTTTCAAAGTCATAAAGATGAAGCTCTAAGGAATTTTGAAGTTTTCTGTAAGAAGGTTCAACATAAAAAAGGATACTACATTTCCACTATCAAAAGTGATCACGAAGGAGAATATGAAAGCAGATTCTTTGAAAACTTTTGCAATGACCAAGGAATCTCTCATAACTTCTCTTCACCAAGGTCGCCTTAACAGAATAGAGTGGTAAAACATAAAAATAGAACCTTACAGGACATGGAAAGTACCATGATTGTGAAAAACTCTCTACCCCACCACTTCTGGGCAGAAGCTGTGAGCACATCATGTCATATTATCAACAGGTGTTTGATTTGACCAATTCTTAAAAAGACTCCATATGTGCTATGGAATGGTAAGAAACCCAACATCAGTTACTTTCACCCTTTTGGATGCAAATGCTTCATTCACAATAATGGAAAGGACAATCTGGGTAAGTTTGATCCAAAAAGCGACGAAGGTATATTTTTTGGATATTGTCCCTCAAGAAGAGCATATAGAATTTACAATAAAAGAACCTTATGCATTGAAGAATCAATTCATGTTGTTTTTGTTGATACTAACCCTCGCTCAAGGAATGAAAAACTTCCTGAAGATGAGGAAATTTCTATTGTTCCAAAGTCTGTTGTTGTAAGAGAAGACTGTCAAGATGAGTCAACTGGTCAGTAGAATCAGTTAACTGAGGAACACATTGAAATCCAGGAATCTTCTTCAACAGAACAGTTGACTACTGAGGAAAGGGAACCAACCACAAACATCCCAAATGAGTGGAAAAGTGAACCTGGATATTCTCACAAATTCATTATCGGAAATCCACAAGAAGGAATCAATACCAGAAGATCTCAAAAGCTCAACTCGCACATGGCTCTAATTTCTCAACTTGAGCCAAAGAAAGTG